GCCCCCAATGCTAAGAGACGAAGATGGAGGAAGTGATTCTGATGGAGAGAATTTTGAGGCTGTCACTCCTGAGCATGATGCTGAAAATGTTGATGAAGAAAGGAATCCAGTTCCTGCAGTTGAGAAGCATAGACATATCCTGGAAGATGTTGACGGGGAGCTTGAAATGGAGGATGTGGCTCCTGTCTGCGAAACTGAAATTAATTCCATTAGCAGTGTTACTGGAGCGGGCGGTGAACAGGTGCCGAATCATCAATCTGATAGTTTTGGGGCTCCATTTGCTCCACCCCCTAAGGACATATCACCATCTCCTCCTTTGCCCAGGTCTCCCCACCCTCCAGTTTTACCTCTTGCAATGCCTGATTCTGTTTCTCATGGTTCTGATTGGAAGCTTTATCCTAGTGTGCAGGTCTTTTCTGTTCCTAGATTTGATATTCCTTTACAGGATAATTTTATTTAGTCTAATTTGATCTGGTCTGGTCTTTTCAATTTGATCTGGATGTATGCAGAAGATTAAGAGCAATATCCAGGAACCTCTTGCAAAGCAGTCTACCCTGCCAAATATTAATCTGACAAACTCTGATGCTGTGCATCATCACGCTCGCGACAATAGAAATTTCGAAGCGCGGATGCCAAGGATGTCTGACTTAACTAATTCGTGTTCTTTCAGCAGTCAATCTGGCTCCCATCCATTTGTGCGAGCCTGTAATACCATTTCACCACCTGATGGTGCTTTCAACAAGGGTTTTCATTTGCGTCCACCTCACCCTTCTCCTACAAATCAGTTCTCGTATTTCCAAGATCAGCGAATGCAGTCCCAGAGGGATGTTCCAGTCCCTTCCTATCATAACAGATTCCATGTGCAGAATGCTGGAAATGGAAATTTTTACAGAGATCATGACAGAATGAAGTTTGCTCCACGCGATAATATTGGAGAGTGCTGGAGGCCTCCATTGCCTTCCGTCTCTGGTGAATAAAGTTTTCTCTTTTTTCTTGGATCAGCTTTAGCTTCTTGGCATTATTATATGCTTGGATTTTGTTAATCAGAATCTTCTGATATCTTCTAGGTCCATGCTATCCTGATGGCGGAAGGATGCCACGTGCATCTGTCTCTTACACAGGTCCGCCTTGTGAGCCACCATTACCTAACAATAGGTGGGCTGGGCCTCCCCAGCCTATGAATCACAGGCAATTTATTCCTTACAGACAACCTTCTGAAGGTCCAATTCCTGTGGAGAATAGAGGTTTGTCCTCATTTCTTTTATCTGTTGGGAAGTAATGGATTTGATCTTGTAAAATGTTCTGCAGGTTCATTTTTCATCATTGGATGTAGTGAATGGGCATGAAGTTAGTATGTGTGGGTGGTTGTCTTTGGGTCTCTCGGAAAGTTCCCTTTCTGAAGCTTTATCAAATTAAGTGAAATGTAAACATATTGTTGACATTTCCGATGCATAGTAACAACATTACATGGGGTCTTCTGCTGACACCCTCTTGTTTATTAATGAATTTTTTGTCTGCATCTTACTTTTTTGATTGAAAACATTTACAAGAAGCTTCATTTCATATCAGTTAGGATTGACTAAAAATATTGCAAAGCAATTGTGTACTTGAGACTTCTGGTTAGCACTAAGATGATTGTTTGGCGGAGCATTTTTATTCTTTTTCTGTTGGTTCCAGGGTAGAGGTAGTTTAGCTAGTAAACACATTTACATACATGGAGTTAGTTGAACTACTTGGGAAATGTTTTTAATTCCTTTTGGTGTTTCAGGTCCTAACTATTGGAGACCAAGACGAGCAATCTGACAGAACCATATCATCAAGTGGTATGTTGCTGCATTTTCTTACATTGAGGTTTTGAGCTATCCTTTGCACATCCCATTTATTTAATTGTTGAATGTGTTTTTAGGGGTAAACTTTTTTTCCATCTAGGTGCCATGGCTTGTTTAAAAAGTCATCTCATGATTGACATCTCACCATTTGTTAAAAATATCATGCTGCTATGGCCCAAAAGGAAAAAAGCTCGTCGTGCAACTGTACATAAGCATTTTACTATTCCTTCTGCAGTCACTAAATGAAAATATCACTTCAGTTTGGTGGGAGATGTGTTGGACTCCTAGGCTGTTGACTTTTATTTATTTTAGTTACAATTTCCTTTTTTTCCCCTCGAGTCTAATAAAATTTTGTTCAGTGTAACAATTTAACTTATTTCTTGTAGTCTTGCGTAGGATTTATTGCCAACATTTTAGGTGATGGTTAGTGCTTTATTCCCTGTTCACCCCTTCTCTCTTCCCATTCAAGTTTGTCACTGTAAAGATGTGCCTTGCGTATACATTTTGAAGAGTTGTTTTACTTCCCTGCTGATTGAGAATGATATATTCCAATTACATCATAAAATCATCATCGATATGCAACCAATGTGCCATTGAAAGCTCGATTTTGATGTTTCTGGTTGGTGTTATCTTTATTTTTATTGTTGACTCAAATATGCTTATGTTTAAGAAGCCGAACTGTTTTTTGTGATATTAGTGACAGTTTATTGCTCTTTCTATTTGGAATCCGGTGCAGTTTACCGTACTAAAAGATGCCATTTTGGACTGGACTAATCACGCAAATACCTTCGTACAGGTTCCGTGCCAGTTTCTTTAACAATATAGAAGTTACCAGAGGTAGGATGTAAAGATTTTCCTCTAATTTTTACCTGCCTGCCCAGAAACCCTCAACTGTGACCATGCTTTAACAAATATTTATTGCTTAAGAGTCCAAGGTAGCATGATTCTAGTCACGTTCAAGTAAAATACAAGAATCTGTTAGTATAAAATGGTCCTGCCATCATTTCATTAGCTAATTAACCAAAATTAATTGGCTCATTTAGATTGTTTTGAATATTTAATGACAAAGGAAGTGTTAGAGAACGTATACGCTTAAATATGAATTTCTTAAGAACAGAGATGGTTGTAACTTGAGGACTTAAGCAACATTTTGGAGGGGTTCTTTTCGAAGATATAAAGAAAAAAATTAATGGAGAAAATGATAAATAAATCAGTGTTTGTTGGTGATTTGGTCTAGATCTTCTGAGAGGCAGAAGAGAAATGACCTCTTCCAATATTTGCAATGTAACATTTTGCCACCAAATTGCCTTCATATCTTGACACGGACTCCCAAGTGCCAATCCTTAAGTATAGTGAAGCTGGAATATTCGAAGTCTTCAACTTGTCACTTAAGTCTGAAGTGTTTTTTTGAAGATATTTACTAAATTTCACTGCAATAGAAGCGCTATTTCCTTGGAAAAGCCTCATTTGGATCAATTCCAAATGACTCCCTCGTCAGTTGCAATCCTAGAGGACGGGCTATCGGGCATATTGTATTGTGACAATGGAATCCTATGCTCCATTGTAGCACGTTATGATTGATCATCAATCTTACTTTGGCAAAGGTGACTCAAGTGACTTCGTTAAGAGGACCATTTCGAAAGTAATATTGATGAAACAGATCATCATTTACAATAACTCTTTTTGGTGATGATCAATGTTTCTCGATGATTGGAACGAAATTATTGATAATCAATATACTCTTTTTGGAGATGAGAATAAAATTATTGACTAAGAACAAAATGCTGTCAAAACTAGTTGGAGACTAAAGTTCACATGCATCATAAGTTGGTGACCAGGGGCAAAGTATAAGAAACAAAATGCTCATGTTCGCCTTTTAAAACTTTTTAAAAAAGTAAATAAGCTGGCAAAAAGCTCCACCAGAGGCTTAAGTATAAGAAATCAGTTTTAACAAGTTCTCCATTTTAATAGAAACCTCACTTCAAAATTGATCAAATATGAAGGCTCCTAAATTCCCAGTTGTCCATTTTCCAGTATGGCTGTGTATGAGACGAACTACAAGTTGTTCTTGGTAGTGTTGTTTTTTCAGTGAAGTGAATGAACCCCTAGTTTCGCCCTACTAAGGGGCCAAGAGTCTGCATTCACCACAACATATTTCAATTTTCAAATCTCGAGTTCCTTCTCTTATACAAGGCAAATATCTCTGCATCTTCATTTTAAAGAGCAAAAAATCAACAACTTAGAACAAAACCCCAACTTTTAATGAACACAATAAACACCATATGGTATTCGCATTTTGCTTAAATAGCCATGACAAGAAGTTCGTTTTTGTTTAGACGCACCAAACTTTGGTCGATGCAACCATGTTTGAAGCAAATAAGTGAGCGCTTTCTATAATACAGAGGTGCAGTTTTGCTGCTCTGCTGGCATGACTACTTCCAAGACTTGACACCGAGTATCCGACAATACTATCTAGTACAACAGATTAGATTTTTTTTTCTTGTTTTTCCATAGTCCTATCCAAGATGCTCTAATCAAGCAATTTCACTGGGAATATATGTAGTTATATACCATCAGAAGAATTAATAGTACCCGAAGAACAAACTAATTAATCCCATTAGCTAAAAGTTTGTTAACCTCGATTTTGCACAAGTTTCGAGAAACCTACGAGTTCAGAGCAATGTGGCTACCAACATGATTGCCAGAGCTGTTGTCATCAACACAACAAGATCCTCTAACATCAGAATGGGAGAGCAAGACCTATTTCTTCTAAAAAGGACAAAAGAAAAACTGAACTCGGAGAACCTCTTCACAAAATTTAAAAGCTCTACTGTTTACATTCCCGTAATGTACATATAATTCTGCAAGGGCATACTCGCTGCAAAATGATGGACAGAATTCGACACAAGCGAAAAGTTTTGGACTTCTTTTCTTTCGTAACAGTGTCTAGTGCTGTCCAGTCCAAACATGCTACAGGTATCTCACAATTCAATCAAGAATATCCATAGAAATTCCACGTGCCGATGCATCATAAAAGAGGTGTGATAACCAAGAAGAACTTCCACAAAATGTAGCAGGAAAAGAAACAAAATTCTAGAAGCATGAACCAACAGCGCAGGCAAAGGTAGCATGAAAATTAGTCTGTCTTTAACCTGTACTCAGCACATATACTCACATGTCAACGTCACGATTGTCAAAAATTTCCCATCCCTCATCTATACGTTCCTTCCTATTATCTCTGGTCGCTTCGTTTTCAGACATTTGTTCATCAAAACAAGGCTCTGAATCACTCTTCACTGGGTTCTCCAACGAATCGAACTGGTCAGGTACTGGTTCAACATGGTCAGGAACCAAGGTTTCAAAAGATGAGCTAGACGAAGCTAAAATAAAGCTGGTCTGGCTGGAAGATAGGGATTTGCTAAACGGAACACGGTCTTCAAACTTCTCTTTTAGCAGCCTCAAATCTTGATGTATAACAGCTATTTCTCCTCTGAGACGGGGAAAAGAAACAAAAAAGGGGAAATCAGATATATGCTTTATTAGTTTAAATATTTCAAATTATTAATATAGAAAAGAAATCAAGAAATTTTAAATACAGATATCAAGGCAAAACCTCCGTATGACGTCGAGGCCATACACAAACCCTTGATCTCAAATTAGGACGAACACATTTAAGCAGGTTGGTCATTTATGAAAACTCAATTAATTGAATTAAAATCTCATTTAAATGTAAAAATATACAAGTTGCAGAAGTGACATTATAAACAGAAACAGGAGAGATCACGTGAATTTGGAAACTAGGCTGAAAAAAAAAAAAGAACTACAGCCTCCAGATTATAAGATGGATCTATGTAAAAAATCACCAATCATCCATAAGCATCTTATTAGGTTATTTTGCTTCAATTATAACATTATAAACAACAAAAGGACAAGAAACAAAGCTGAATAACAACAGTTTAAAGAACACAATTTCGTATTGTATCATCATCAGCATTGGAAAAATTTCAGTTGCTCATTAGTGAATATGATATGACACTACTACTAAAATCCTCGAGCTCATTTTAAGATTGCAGATACGAAATTGAAATGCCACTTTCTGAACATCAAATGTGGCAAATTGCGATAGTAATAAGCCTATACCGTCCTGGAACTGCAGGGCATTAACGGATTAATATACCTCTGTACTGTTATTTAAAAGCATTTCTAACCCACATACCTTTCCCCTGAAAACGTGCAGAAACACATATGATGATGATGATGATGATGATGATGATCATAATAATAATAATAATAATAATAATAATAATAATAATAATAAATTCGGGGCCAGCATCATGTTGAAATTGATTTGAACATGAAATAGAAAAGTTAACCTCATACCCCAATCAGAGATTCGCCAAATTAAACTCTCAAAGTAGAAGAGAAAGGAAAGCTAGTAACAGGAGCTCATATGACTTACTGCAATATATCTACAACACGACCACGGTCCACAAGGAATTCCCTCAACTGCAATACAACAAGAACACAAATCAAATATATAACCTCAACAAAAAAAATGTGACTGAATAGCAACAAAAATGGATCATTCAAAACTAATCTATTAAATTATTTTCTTGGCAAATGAGCTCGCTGTGGTAACAACCGAAATTCAAGTCAGCATATGAGACAGGAGCCACTACTACCTTGGCATTTTGTTCTGCTTGTTGCTTCAATTTTTTTGACTCCTGCACCACAGTCTCCATTACCAATTCTTGATTAGAAAGTGCTTTTCGTGCAGAATTTTCCTTCTCTCTCTTTTCCTGCTCCACAGATTTTATCACATCCTCAGCTGCAGCTAATCGCATCTCCAAAGTCTTACGTATCTGCAGGTATATGTTTACGAATAAGAAAGTGCTATGGTTATTAAGCCTCCAAGAATTCATATTATGTTTCATATGATTGAAGAATCAATATTGACATGTTATTATGTATTGGTTTGCCAAAGCGGCGTCAGGTACAGAAACAGATTTGTTATATTTAAGAGAACATTCTAGGTGGAAACATCAACAGTTGAGAATCAAGAGTAGCTAGGATAAATGCAATGGATATTGCATTCCAAATGAGGGAGATTGCCTTAAAAAGTACATACTCATTATAGGCATAAAATAGAAAGTGGATGGTAATTTATTTCTTGCAATAGTTACTGGTCTTTAAGTTCAGAAAATTTCCACTGGTTATTTTAACAAGTTTCAGGCTTTAAGAATTTTCACAAGTAAATAGGAGAATAATATTGTTGAATATTTCAGACAATATTTTATGCTATTTAATGTAGTAAAGATTATTCTCTCTCTCTCTCTCTCTCTCTCTATAAACATACTTGATTATTATTCTTTCTTCTCTTTTTCATTCTTACTCCTTACCTTTATAAATCACAATATATGATCAACGACAAAGAAAACTAATATTATTTTAAATATGTACAAACAAAACAATAGTATCACACAATTATTCCTTCCAGCACGAACCAAGGAGAAACTACAATTTAAAAAAGGAAGGAAAGCAATTATTAGCAAAGGCAATTCTTTGAAAAGAAACATAGATTATTCTTATCCTTTCCTTTACTTGCCTTCTGTTTTCCTCTCTGTTTCCTCCCTTGAGGGAAGAAGATTAGACAGCACGAAAAATAACTTTTTGAAATAGTTAAAAATGTTTACTAATTAACTAAATTAAAAACAATGTCTGTCTGATGTTTTCAGATCCGATGCCAGAATAATGGGAATGCATGGAAAAAACTGAAATCACCTCATGAAGAATTGCAAGAGATTTGTCTCTTTCATCTGACAAGGAGAGAACACGAGATTGAAGCTCTTTCAACTCAGTAGATAGGATAGCTTTTTCACCATATACTTCTCCAGCATGCTGTAAACAGAAGAAAAGAACACCATATTATATGCAAGTCTTTAGCTCAAGATAAACAAAAAATAATACTATCAGCAATAGGAGTAGAACCATGTCATTTGCCTCCTTTGCACGTTGCACCATTTGTCTAAGCTCTTCAACCCTATCCAGTACATCAGAACGGCCCTTAGCAGCTTCCATTTTGGCTTGTTCTGCATTTTTCTCTTTAAGCTCAACTTCCTTCATCTTGCTGATAACAGACTCCATTGCAGAAAACAGGGTTTTCTGCACCAAAGTATATTATAAGGCCTACTGTCTAGTAACAGTCAAACAAGACAAATTAAACTCACTCTTTTTCTTTACCTTCTGTAGGGGAAATTCGTAAACAACTTTTGAAGATAAAACACATTTCTAGGAGCTTACTATATCATGGTACATTAAGCATATTAATAACGATCCTCATTTTTAAACAAATACAGTCTTCATGTTTACTTTGGTACAATGAAACTACGGAAATGAGATATTCCAAGGTGCCTTATGCAAACAGATCAAACTCTTCTCCATTAGATTTTACAATTTCAATTTCATCTGGATCTTAATACAAATTTAATATTCTTTCTTGAGAAATAATATTAAATTCCACCACTAAGAGAAACACTAGACTGAATTGACTAACTTATGAATAATTAAATATCTTAATTGTAAGGTTGAATTTCACAGCCTTAAATATCAAATTATCATGAAGTAATAAATAGTATCATTTCATGCAATAATCTCCAGCTTTCTCTTATGCCTTAAAGTTCAATTAATAATCAATAAACAAACAATGAGAGTTTGACATTGCTGATACCTTGTTATTTCTTGCATCTGCAATGACATCCTCGAGAAGATCAATGACACAGATTTGTCCAGATCGGGACACACTGGCATTCAAGGTAGACTCATCTCCAATACCAACCATTTCATCAGTAGCTTCTTTCATAGGAGTAGCATCAGTGGACAAACATATGTCTAGTTTCTCTACATCACACTCTTGCACATCAGGTACTACTACCAATTGTTCATTGCTTCCTGATGGACTGAGAGTTAGATCTTGAAAAGAAGGCAGTTCCATAAAACTATCCACCTCAAATGATTTCCCATCTGCACAAGATTTTCCCTGACGGTTTTCCTTATGGATTGCCACATTAGAACCATTACCTAACGACCCATCAAATTCTTCGAGGTCAGGCACAAGATTCATGTTTTGACTGACACCTACATCCATGCCTTCCAATGTTCTCCTTGTTTGACAAGGACTATGATTAGATTCAGTTTCAATACTGCTTTCTGGACATTTTCCAGCTGAAATCATTTCCTCTCTTTCAAGGTCTGCAGATGTCTTCGTTTGTTTGTAATTTGTGCCACTTTTATCAATCACAGTAACACGTTCAACGTGATGAAACACATCAGCACTGATCCCTGCACTGCTTTTCTCACATTTCCCTGATAATTTCAAGCCAGGTATCCTACCATCTACTTCTTGATTACCACTATTGATATCTTGGAAGGGTTTGTTTTGTCCATCATTTGCCTCATGAAATGATTGCTGAAGTCGTCCAATCCCAGCAGTCGGAATGAAATCTATAAGAGTTGTTGTAATCAAAAGATTGAGATAGTGGGTCCACCTAAAAAGATTATAATTAACAGAATACTAAACCTTCAGGAAATTCCATTCAAGGTAACTATACTTTGACTATAGTTTCAATTCCGTAATTGTACTTCAATTTTGTACCTTCACTTTCATTTGATTTCCCTAGGGTAACTACACTTTTATATGATTTCAGTTAAGGTAACTCCGTCCAATTCCACTCAAAAAAATCGATGATGCGGTAGTCCATAAATGAAGGTCATCACGTGTCTGTTAGTTGCTAACATGGAATATTAAGTGCAACTTCAATTAAATAAATAACAACCATCATCATTGACTAGCATGTCATGATTTCCGTCAACTCAAGTGACGGAATTGGATTCATCATATTGAAATCAAATTAAAATGTAGCTACGAAATTGAACAAAATTGATGTATTAAAATTCAGTTATAGATTGACACTTGAATAAATGTTAGTTATCTCGAATGGAATTTATTCACAAACCTTCTGCATGCAATCATAAAATAAAACCAATATACAAAATTGAGCATTTTATTCAAGAAATCTGTTACCCTTAGATGGTTCACCCACATTCATGCTCCCACCGGATTGACAACTTTGTCTAGATCTTTCAGTGAAAAATGGAATAATCTCCTCAAGGACCGCATCAATAGCAGCATCAGCATCCTTGCTATGCTCAATGGCAACAGCTCTAAGAACTCGAGAATCAATCTGCCCCCACAAAGGAAGAAAAGAAGGCATCAAAATGTGCCTTCTGCCTAATCCCTTTTCTTTCATGAAATAACATTTACTATTTATTTTTTTAAGTGAAAATGAATCAAGAGAACAGAGAATCACAAAAGAAATATCCTTACAAATTATCACTAATTTGACTATCAAAATTCAAGAAATTTCCCCTTCTTTGACATTGTCATTTGGGGGGGTTAAAATCCAATCTCATATTTTCCTTACAAAACATCAGTCTTAAAGGGTTTTCAGAAGTCAATACCATTTTCATACATATTATACAAATCTTCACAATCCAAAAATGTAAAATAACGTATATCACAATCCAAACATACAATCTACAAGAAAAATATTTACCAACATCATATTTTTGGTTCACTAGAATTCCAAAAATATACCTATTAATTTGAAGCCCTTAATACGCAAGAAAAGATGATCACGAAGAACAACATATCCAGATTATTACAATTTACAGATGAAATGCGGAACCTAGAAAACCCAATTACCTGTGGGAAAATTTCCTGCAACACCTTATATACTTCGTTGAATCCCATTTGAAATTCTACAAATCAATTCTGCAATCCAACAAATAACACATTAGCCAAATACATAAATTATTCTCAAAATTGATCGAACTCATTAGATAAATCCAAAATGCAAGAACATAAATACACTGAGCATTGAAACGGTATGTCGGTATGCATAATCTTCAAAAACCTTAATCCCTCACAACATACATATACTGGTTCTATACATAAATCAGTCAAACAAAAGAAAAATAAGCATAAAATACAGTTATCATAATAACATTAAAAAGTAAACCTTTTCTTTTTTACCGCCTTTTCTTTTTCTTGGTAAAAGAGAATCGAAATTCGAAACAAGAAAATAAATAAGATACAAACTTCTCGAACCTTTTTTCTTCCGTTTCTTTACCAGCAGAAAAACAGGGATGAAAACTGAGTATATATTTCAATGCGACCAACTAGAAAGAAGAGCGAAAATTAAAGGAACCCTAGTTAGGTGATCAAATGGGAATTGAAATTCATTAAATGGCGCAGTAATCATCACAATAATAAAATCAAGAAGAACGAGTCATATGCGCCGGCCTGTGTCTATTCTTGGTATATATATTAACAAGAGAACGTATACGTGTCTGACTGGGATAAGTGCGTATTTGTACTTTACCAAAAAAAAAAAAAAATCTGCCCCCACCCCCAAGGGCGGGGCTGGGATCACCGCCTCGTGACGAATAAAAAAAAATTTAATTAACTATAAATATTTAATTTTGAACATTATTTCGAGTGCTTAATTTGAATATTGATGTAGTTAATTTGAGACTTTGAATATTAGACGTTTTGGATTTTAAAATTTTGAATTTTTATTTTAACTGAAAATTTTTGAAAAAAAAAAGGGGCAGGCGCCCAGTCTAATATAAGGCGGGGCGAGGCGGGAGGAGGGGCAGGGGAGTGCCCCGCTCCGCTGCCATCTCTATTTGTACCCTTTAATTTGACTCCAATTTGAAAGTCGATTCACTTTTATCTCGACAATCAAGATGTAACTATATTAATAAATTATTAGTTCAACTAGTCAGTAGTTGATTAAAGAATCATGTAAAAATTTTGATCATTTTCTAACTATGTATTTCATTATATATATATATCCAAATTTGTTAAAAAATTTTATTGAAAAACTTTGTCACACAAGTCCTAAATTTTATACTAGTGCAATTAACACTAACGTATCCATAATGAAATAAAAAATTGACATGCTAATTAAGAAGAATAAATTAATTGCCAGTATTATTATTACAAAAAATGATGGAAGTCCGATTGAAAAAGCTACTACTTCGTGATGAAGATAAACGTACTTTTTTTTTTTTTTCTTTTTATCCTCAATCAGGGATGAAGGCAAGGGTGGTCAGTGGCCCTCCCAAAAAATCTGATTCTTTTTGAAAAAAATAAGATAATTGGAAAAAATAATCACTTAGGTAGGGGACACTACAATTTTTTCCATTCCAATTTCAAATCTTTGAAACCTTACCCACCTCCTCTTCTCACTTTCTTAAATATTTTGTAAATTTGATTTTAATCAACGGTTGACCGTCGATATCATCCACCATCATCCGTCGACGAGTTCCTCTCTCTCTCTCTCTCCCCAACAACTTCTGATTCTCCTCTTCTATTGGATTTGAAGGTATTTCATGTTTTTCAATTGTCAAGATTTATCAATAATTATACAACATAATCACCAAAAATTAGATATACGAATATAATTAAGGACAAGAGTTCGCATTGACACTTCATGAAACAGAGACTGCTATAACTTACTTAGTCTCCGATATAGCTCTCGTTGTGGAAAAAAGGGTCCTCCCTCATGCTCTATTCCTTAGCCTAAGCCTCATAAGGAAGCAAGAGTGTGAAGAGAACTAATAAGCCACGTCTCAATCATCCAACACAATAAGATAAAGAGATGGGAATGTCTTACACTCCCAAAGCATAACAGCTTCGTACAAACGTTCCATTAGAATAATATGCTTGAATTTGTAAAGAGCAACTCCAAGCAATGAGGGGCAATGGATGGAACTATTTTCTTGAAACAATTTGTTCTTTTTGTCAAGAGTAGCATATTATGTTCCTAACATGGATGCTACATATATACCTTTAGGTTGTTCATGGCGTAACACTCTTGAAATGAAAATTTTACATCACTTATGTGTGGATTACTTTTATATAGTCATTGATATGCAACTTCAAGAGTATAATGATCGTTTTTTCGAAGTAAACAGTGAATTGTGTAGTATGTTTGTGTCCAGATGATTCGTTTTCTGCTTTCAAAAAGAACAAATTAATTCGATTTGGTGAGTATTAGCTCGAAATGTTTTTACTAAGAAATCTTTCTACACTTGATCATCAGGGACGAAGAAAAGGGTAGTCAGTGACCCATCCACAATATCTGTTTTTCTAAATAAAAAAAATTGGAAGAATAATCATTTACGAGAGGCAAACTGTAATTTTTTCCATTCCAATTTCAAATAATTGAAATCTTACCCACTTCCTCTTCTCTCTTGCTTAAGTATTTTGTAAATTCTACTTTAATCAACGGTTGACATTCGACATCATCAACCATCGGCTGTTAGCAAGTTTGTCTCTCTTTTTCCAACAGCTTTTGATTCTCCTCTTCTATTGGATTTGGATGTATTTCATGTTTGTTAATTGTCAAGATTTATCCCTAATTCTACAACATAATCATTGAAAATTAGATATACGAATATAATTAAGGACAAGAGTTCGCATTAATACTTTATGAAATAGAGATCGCTATAACTTACTTAGTCTTCGATACAACTTCTGTTGCAGAAAAAGAGGTTGTCCTTCCTCATGCTATATTCATTAGCCTGAGCCTCAGGAAGGAAGCAAGAGCGCGAAGAAACAAATAAGCCACGTCTAAATCATCCAACACATTAAAATAAAGAGATGGGGAATGTCTCACACTCCCGAAGCATTACAGCCTTGTACAAACGTTCCATCACAATAATAAGCTTAAATTTGTAAAGAACGACTCCAAGAAATGAGGGACAATGGATGGAACTATTTTCTTGAAATGATTTGTTCTTTCTATCAAAAGTAGCATATCATGTTCATAACATGGATGATAAGTATATACCTCTAGATCATTCACGGTGTAACACTTTACTTTTATACTGTCATTGATATGCAACTTCAAGAGTATAGTGATTGTTTTTTCAAGGTAAACAATGAATTGTGCCTTTGTATAGTATGTTTGTGTCTAGATGATTCGTTTTCTACTTTCGAAAAGAACAAATTAATTCAACTTGGTGAGTATCATCTCAAAGATTTTTCACAAATAGATTTTTCTACACTTGATGAACAACTTGAAACACATATTTTTGATATACGCAAGGATGAAAACTTTGGAGGATTATGGGATTTTAGTGATCTTGTAAAGAAGCTGGTTGTGATGAAGAAAACTGAAGTGTATCCACGGTTATATATGCTTGTGACATTGGCATTGATTCTTCCCTTTGCTACTGCTATTGTTGAGAGGGCATTTTTTGCAATAAATCTTGTCAAGACCTGGCTATGCAATCGAATTGGAGATCAGTGGTTGAACGACAATTTAGTTGTATATATTGAGAGTGATATATTTAACGATATTGATAATGATGTAATTATACGACGTTTTCAAAATATGAAAACAAGTCGGGAACAATTATAGTTATATTTTTTAAAATTATTTTTACTACATAATTTTTGCCCTCCCAAATTAAATATCCTAGCTCTACCACTTTCACTAGTTGATCATGAAGTTCTTCAAAGAGATGGAAATTCTTCTAAACTAATGACAATTGTCTTCGTATTCATTTCTTAAATTAATGAATGTCGTCATAAAAAATTCTGCTTGTTAGGAGTGACATGATAGTAAGCAAATTGATCGTAAGTATCTTTTGTTAGGCCTTGCCATCGGCACTGCCACGTGGTTGACCCACTGTAGCTGTGGACCCAATCATACCAAAGCATCAACTATAGATGACGAGGCCCTAGGGTCAATTCCTAGGCCTTTCAGATTACCCACGCCAAGGCGAGACAACCGAAGCAGATCAAGCCCGAAGCCCTGCCTCGATCAGTGACGATCCACGTGCAGATCTTAAAATTAAATGTAAAATCCTTTTGGAATGATTGATGTGACCCTTGTAATAAGTATATTTGTGTCTTATCTTGTCAATAGGGTATAAGAATATCAAACGCATTGTAATCTAAGAATGTCAAGATGATGGCTAGGATTAAATGTTTAGGCCGATGAGATGGGGTCACGTGTAATTTCATCAAAGGGTTACTATTTAATTTGCAGTACTATAAATACCCCTCTATATATCTATTGAAGGCTAATGAAAATTTGAATACAAAAAATCAACTTGATATATTTTCCCACTTTGAGTTATTATCTTTTACTTTGGTGTATCTGGATTTTAGAATGATTGGTAATTATTATACAATCATGTCCCGTTCGTTCGGAACCCTAACGTCAACGTCTCGTGTAGCAGAGTTTCTCCAACGTCCAATACTAGAGATATCTCAACTGTTGATATGTCGTTACGTGCCCGTGCACGAGTGGATCCATATATTTTCCCACTTTGAGTTATTATCTTTTACTTTGGTGTATCTGGATTTTAGAATGATTGGTAATTATTATACAATCATGTCCCGTTCGTTCGGAACCCTAACGTCAACGTCTCGTGTAGCTGAGTTTCTCCCACGTCCAATTCTAGAGTTATCTCAACTGTTGATATGTCGTTACGTGCACGTGCACGAGTGGATCCGACATCTGTTGGCCGCATCTTTTGAGGTCAACATCTTTAATGTTTGTAAAAAATGTGACAGAAATTTATCCACAATCTGTCAATGTGAGTTATCCTTAAGATGGGGGAAAGCTAATGACAATTTTTGTTGTTAGTTCTAACTCCATTATTAGATTATATAAAATTACATAAACATTACTATTTCAATTCCATAAACTAACATGCTCCCGACTTGCC